TTTCAATATTTAAAATGTTTTGTGTATCTACAAAAATAAGTCATATATATATATATATATATATATATATATATATATATATATATATATAAACACGAATAAAGTTAAATAAAAGAGAACCATATATATATATATATCTATATATATATAAACAGGATTAACTATTGCTAAGATAGTGCATTACAATAGCGGAGAGATATATCTTCAAATTTTGTAAAGTTTTAAACTTTGAAATGGCTAAAAAGTCAGTTGTATGCATTCTTATTGTATCCAGCTTATACATATCGATTGAAATCTACTGTCGGGGAGGTTGAAACGTTGAAAATTGCTTTCAAGGCGCTTCTATTATTGTAGGTTGATTAATTTCTTCGTCTGATGAGTGCAAGTTCGATCTCTACTGATTATTGTAGAAATAATTATTTTTTCTCTTTTAATAATGTTAACCGAATACATGGCCCAAGAGCCACACAAGGTAGATGGTTATTGTGTGGATTTGCGTAAGATTAGCGTAAGAAACAACAAGCTTTAAGAGTATGGAGATGAAACAAACTTTAGAAGGAACCGTAAACCCAATTCTAAACAGGAAACAAGGAATAAGACCGGAGAGAAATGTCTGCATGTCTGTATGTATGTATGTACGTATATATATATATATATATATATATATATATATATATATATATATATATATATATGACCATGAAACCCGGGTCTGCATCTCACCAAGGTTGATTTGTCAGGAAAGTGACTTCTTGATGTTGGTCTGGAGGATTGGCCTGGCCGAGGTTTCGATCTTTTGGGCCTTGTTCAGATTGTTGATCACGCTAGATAATAAGCTCTCTCCCAGAAACTGTAACTCAGCAGACCTTAGTTACAGTAAGTATAAACAAACACAAATTGTGCCTCAACGGGCGTCTGCAATAGAGATTTGCTAGCTGCATTAGTAGACAGGTATCCTCGAATATGAATGATCATATATATGATGGACTCTCCGGTCGCGGGCGACTAATGAGGAGTCAGTAAAAATAAATAATTTTTATGGATACGCAGGAGTCTCCCGAGGACTGCAGGGGATTGAGACATTTTGCTCAAGTGTTTGAGGGTCAATTGCCAGATGTTTCTGCGAGTCGACAGCAAGGCCTGCTTTATTGCGTGCGACAAAGCCACAATAGCAGGTAAGCCTATCATTGAGAGGAGCAGCATACTAACAACCTGTTTTAATATTTGCACTCAGTTGATTCCGATGTTTAAGTCGGTCTCGTACAAACCTTTGTATGGATGAGAAGCAGGAAAGGCATCAGCTGCTTTACTCTGACGCTTTCTTTTCCCAGGAAGAAAAGGGATGTTACATCACTTCAGATTATCATTCAGATTGTCTTTGTTACGCAAGTGTGGCCTTCCAACTGATCTACTTGTTAGAAGCTGGCCAAAGAGGAGTTGTTTTGGAAAAAGATGTCCTGCCCACCTGAGTTGGATATTCATTAGGAGGACCTCAATATATATAAAGGTTGACTCTGAAAAAAAAACACCGACTGGTGGCAGTAATTATTTAATGTTGCAAGAATTAGTAAATGATTTTTTTTAATTATTAGTGAACATCCTTGGGAAAGATATGGGAGTAGTTTCCCTTTGCGTTTTCTCTTCTTGGTTTGGAAGGCAGAGTTTTCCTTCTCTTAGACTGGTTACCAAACAAGGATGAAGAGCCTAGTCTACTCTGCTATTTAATCTATAGATGATGGGGGTGAGAGACAGATTCGTGTCTTTCTAAAGGGTATTTATACAAAAATGAATGTAACAGACTACTCCTGAATATATGAACTCAGCTCTCCGATTCCAGTTTCGACGCCAATATCTGTTACAGTAACCGCACATCCGAGTCAGTTAACTGATTAAAATCTGTCTAATTTTGTGACATCAAATTATATCTCGAGTAGAATTTTAATTAGGAGTGAAAACAGGAAACTGGTCCTTAAAAATGAACAGGAACAATATTTTTGTTTTAGCACTAACTTCACCTGAAGCATTCTTTATTTTCTTTGCCCACTGACATTATCGTTACTCTAGTATTTTTCTGCTTTGTTTCAGTCATTTTTCTGCAGTAACAGACTAAACATTTCTCTCGGTTCAAAGGAAAATTAGGATTAAAGAGCAAAGAAAAATTTTAATCAGATTTCTGGGGTACGTAATGAGGAAGAAGGACTTGGAAAGCCTGATACCCACAAGGGACAGAGGAAAGTAGCGCGTAGCTTAATTGATGGGCTTGAGAAGATGGATGCCAGAACAGGATTTGGGAGAAATAACAAACGAAAAAAAAAAAACATCTTGAGAGTTACAAGGGACAGGAACATGTGAAGGGCCATGATTTCCTACCGTCCTGAAAAGACACAGGCATGTAAAAGAATATACAGTGCATTCAAAATCAGGAAAAAAAGAAATATATTAAAACTTATTCAAACATTACTGTTAGGGCGATTATATATACATTATATAAATACATTCAACGTGCAGCACTGTTGCAATATGCCAGTGAATCATAGCAGACGTTGTTACAAGCCTTGTGCGTGGAATTGGGTTAACGAAACTGTTTGAAAGTTGTCAATATGTGGTACGAGGATGTCACAAAATTATCCTAAACGAAGCTTTTTAGCTTACTGGACTTTATAGTATGCGATTCACCTTAGATAATACAAAAAATGCTTTTGAATTCATTGGTACAGAGATGCGTCATATGCATCAGCAGGGTGGTTTGAAAGATTCTAACTTCGTACCAGGTACGGACCCGCATCTCATTAGCCGACATGTGAACTGGTGGTCAACCTACCAGTACCGTTGTGAAAGTGCACACGTGGAACACGCTGAAAACAGGTTTATATATATATATATATATATATATATATATATATATATATATATATATATATATATATAGTGAACATAGAAGTCAACACTTAGAGGCGACAATCTGTTTCATGTCGCCTCTAAATGTTGACTTCTATGTTCACTTTTATATTTACACACGCTCTATCTCTGATATTGAGCACCCATAAATATAGCACATCTTAAGACTATATTTCTTCACTAGCAACATGGCCCGACGTTGCTCGGGCTTGATTCAAAAATCGTATGACTCATACAGCAATCGCTATCACTTGACTTAAAATATTTTTGCCCTTCCTTGCCTTTAAAGGGGAGCCCTTTGCCGTGCTGATGTTGCTACATGCTTTACTTCTTGCCTATCTCACACTGCGAATGTTTTCTAAGCTCCATACTAAACATTAAATCTGTTAGGAAAAAAGAACTAAACAGAATGAACACAAAACGTTCAGCTTTAAAAAAAAGGACTCGTAACTGGAAAAACCGAATGAAAAATGAATGTTAACAACAAATACTTTTTTGCACCCAACCCAGTTCTGCGGAATCAGAATCAACATTGAGTTTAAGCAAGCGAATGAGCCAATTGGAGTAAAGTGCCATTCAGATTTAAATTTTTCCCACTTGTGATCGATTTTTTTTTGCATGCTAGCATGCTAGTTAACATTCGTGTCAGTCAGCTGTTGGCTCTCACGCTGGCCAATAGAATCTTCCTGCCTATTCGTGGCAGCCAGCTATAGGCTCTCACTCTGGCCAGTAGAAAATGGCTGCAAACTACATGAAAACTGCAGTAGAAGCATGAAAAAATCGATTATTTTCACTATCGATGGGAGTTGGGAAATGCAAAGTCGGTCTTGGCCTTCCCTCTAACTTGGAGCATGTGCATGTCAATTTTGGTGCAAATCCGTCGAAAATTGCGGCCGTGCATTCGTTACACACACACACATCCTATATATATATATATATATATATATATATATATATATATATATATATATATATATATAAGCATAAGCATAAGCACCCCCGCGAAAGTGAAGTGAATAAAGTATGTAGCCTCCACGTTCGGAGAAGACGCCATTCGCCGACAGTAACTGAGAAAGTCCGTTGTTGAATGAATAACAATATTAAGTCTAAGTGATAGTCTCGTGTTCTTATTCGTCTGTTCGATAATAACATTTTCCTTTACTGATACATTAGAACAGTTATAGTCATAAAGATTTGCTACTGAAATGTCTTACATATAATTTTACTATAGAAATGCAACATTAATGATTTTGTAACTGAAACGAATAGTAAATAAAGAAGAAGGATTATCAATGCATGAAGTACTGATGCCATATATGGTCTGGTTCCCCCGTTGTTCGTCTTAAGGTCCTCGACAAAATCCAGAGTGATTGGCCCTGATCTGGTATCTTGTTTACAGTCACTCTCTCACAGACGTGTCGTCGCCTCTCTCTGTCTTTTCTACAAATACTTTCACGGTGACTCCTCCGACGAGCTACTTTCACTAGTTCCCAGACTGTATCAATTTAAACGTGCAACTAGACTGGTATCTCAATCCCACCCTTGTCAAAACGGTTAAATGTAGCTGTCTCTTCTACTCCAATAGCTTCATGTCTCGCACCTCCCGTCTGCAAGGCATTCCCTTCCTATTACTTGTTTCCCTGATAGCTATAATCTCCAACTATTCAAATGTAATGTCAATCGACATCTCCAGATTCCTGACCTATTCCGTGTCCTTTCCTCTATCACTCCTCTTTGTTCTCACTCCAACTCTGTAACCCTTTACTTTCTAGTGGCATCCTGTCTTTCTTGGGGTGAAATGCTTAAAAAAAGGGAATTAATAAAAAGTTATTATGTGCAAATTTTTATTTACATGAAGAAATTTAGTCCGGAAAATCCTGTTCATCTAGAAAAGTTTCGGAATTACTGATAAAATGATAGTGTACTGGATATACCTTTGTGAGTATTCAAGTTAGATAAGAATGTAGAAAATAAATAAATCCACATCGAACCTAAGCAGATAATAGTTCAGACTTGCCTTTGTGACGTATTTATGATATATTGTTTATGGAAAGAAGCGAAAATCATTTTCTTAGTTTAAACGCAATGATATCCAAATAGAAATGTCTCCATTTTCCACCGAGTGGCGCGCGTCTCGGTGTAGCACACTGAGGTAATAATGTTTCTAGTTTAATACGACCTTTTCAAGAGAAAAACCACAGACTCCGCGGGCCGTAATGATGCAATTTTAGAAAGAGCATCAAGGCATGTCTTAGCAACAATGATTGTGAGAGCGAGAGGAGATGGGCGCTTGAAGAGGAAAGGTTGGGAGAGGCGCTCCAAACAGATTTTCTTTATGTTCAAATTTGGATTATGTTGAACGCGTCATTTGCTTCCTACACGGAAACATTTGCGAAGCCCATTAACGACTGCAAAATGAATCTTACGGAAATTTAAAATTGAAATATATCTGCTTACAGACTGAATAATATATACCTACTTACCTACCTACCTACCTAAAATCTTATCATCACACACAGACACACACAAATATGTCTCTCTCTCTCTCTCACGATATATATATATATATATATATATATATATATATATATATATATATATATATATATATACTCACGTGTGTAGCTTCGAAAGTAATGCTGCCTATTTTATAATGTTGGACAGCAATATGAGAATCTGATGCCGGTGGTATAGTAGTAAAGATTAAAAATTCCCATAATATATTTTGCTTTGTTAGAGATAGCAGTCTGACATAATAGTGTCTGACATGAAAATGCATGCAAAGCAGAGGTGGTTATATTGATTCGTCAATGCAAAATAATTGCATCAATTGACATAAATCCACGCTTGCAGAGACCAAACAGTGAATGTGAACAGGGTCAGACAGCGGATATGGGATTTCAGTATCGACAATAGCGATTTCTGGAATAAGCCACGTTCGCACCAAAAGTTGACATCAGGAATATTACATTCATTTACACATCCATTATTACGCACACGCACAAACGCCTTCAGATATATGATATGAGATAACGATATAAGAATGGTATTGAGAAAATTGTAAGACAAAATGGAAAAAAAAGTTTACTTGTAACGCGTTTCATATGTCAGAACTTCATCTGATTGGGTTTCTTGATGCTACACAGGCGCATGAACGAGACACTGGTATTTTAAACATTTTTGAAAGAATTTTTTGAAATAATTTTTTTACAATCTAATACAAATTCGTCTATATACTTTTTCTTTTTCTCTCCATCATCTTTGTTTTTAACTATCCCACATTGTGATAACAGAAAATCTGCCAAGAATGGTGATGCGTTGTCAGAACCTGGACGTAAATTTACTGTGGCTGAACTAGCGATTAAAGCACTTACTAAACATTTTCGTCTTAGTGAATTATTTTATCAAAAGGATTAAAATTTACTATTTCCAGTAAGCAGAATATTCTGTAGTGTATTTGAAATAGAAATTATATTGATTGAAATCAGTGAAATCGGCCATTTTGACACTTTTACAAACAAAAGTTAATTCTAGGTTTTAAAAATCTTATAAAAATAAAATATATATTTCTGAAACTTTATCTGAGGAAAATTAGCAAATTTAAAGTTAAATTAATCTGATTTGAAACAAATATTATAGCATAAAATTTTGCATACAAGCATTTCTTAATCACGGGATCTTGTTTTTCTGACGTATTCATTGATTTATTGACCGCCTAACGTGTTGATAAGTATTGTGAAACAGCCGATAAATTTTATATGAGTTGTTTTTTCCTTGCAAGGTGGGGACAACCTTTAAAAGATGTGACGTTTTAATGATAATGTCATGTATGAACTAGCACACTTAGAAAATTCAGGACGTTTATACACACACGCACACACACAAAATAGAAATTCCTTTTAAAATATTCCGGGGTACAATAGATGATTAGGAAATATAGTTTTGCTTAATAACTATATTTCCGAAGATCTTTCTGTGAAGGAATTAACACTTGGTTGATAACTACTGACCTAGATACTCAATAGAAAGCCCCTATGTCGATCTTATGAAGAATAGGTATATCGGAACTAAAGCCACAATGGGAATGCATTCAACGAACTGGAAACTCACTCCACTAATGGCCTCCAAAGTTTTATCTCTACTCTTTGCTATATCCAAACACTGCCATTCTATACATATCTTCGCTATTGCATTTGTTCCATTGGATTCTATTATTCTCTTATTTTTCATTATATAAAAAGGTAAAGCAGTTACTTTTATATAATATACTACAGATTTTATAAACAATCATACAGTCCAAATATTAACAAAAATACTTTTTTTAAAAACTTTTCACTCCAAGCAAGGCGGGAGTGCTACTAACACGCAAGGGGTTGCAGAGAGTGGGAGCAAGATTAAAGAGGCGTGAAAGAGGAAAGGATGAAGAAAAGGCATCTGGAAATGTCGATTGACATAGTATTTGAATTATTGTAAGCATTAGCTATCAGGGAAATAAGTAAGAGGAAAGGAGTTCCACAGACGGGAAGTGCAAGACAGGAAGCTATTGCAGTAGAAGAGACAGCTACATTTAACCGTTTCCACAGTGAAAGGGTGGGGCTGAGATGCCGACCTAGTGGCACGTTTAAATTCATGCAGTTTGGGAACTAGCGAAAGTAGCCCGTCGGAGCAGTTACCGTGAAAGTTTTTGGAGAAAAGACAGAGGGAGGTGACGGCACGTTTGTGAGAGAGTGACTGTAAACGAGATGCCGGATCAGGGACATCCATATTGCATATCTGTCTCTGGATTTTGCCGAGGACCTTAAGACGAACAGAGGGTGCTTCAGACCATATATGACAGCAGTTTTCCAGGCGAATGGTTGATTTACATTTGAAGGATGGACTCGGGCGAGAAAAAAACTTTCTGACGCGACACAGAGAACCACATTTCCTTGCGGTAGATACTGCTTGTTGTTTGTTAAATTTCCATGACAAAATTACATATTATTCAGAATTACTTTTATTATGACAGATGTTTACCTAACTTGCATGAATCAGTTTTGAACGGTGATCTTTAATTGAGATCTCTGTCCGAGTTAGAATGCCGTATATGAAGATGTTTCCCCGATCACTACAAACTTAACCCGTTCAAGTAAACCGCTATCTTCGTCTCTTATCCATATAAACTACCCCTTAACGTAACTGTTGGGGCGCACCCACCTTCTAACTAGTAATGGACTGGTCCCTCTTATATAAGTCAGCTCTGGAGAGAGAGTGACAGAGGGTCAGAGAGAGAGTCAGCGTGAGCAGTCCAAATAAGCTTACCCGGTACATACCGTTGGACTATAGACTTTGGCTATTGTTTCGTACTAACCAACCTTCGTTCTACTAATCACTCTATTGTTAATTGCTTTTATGAATATACCAGTATTTTCCTCTACAACTGTGTTTGTCTTGATTCATACACCGACACGCGGGAAACTCACAACATCTCAACAGTAACCCTCTACCTCGAGTGGCACCTGGGACTTGTACAGAGTGAACCTTACTGTAAAAAAATGGAATTCGTTAATTTCAGTTCAGTGGAATTTTGCGCCTATATATATAAAGAAATTTTCAATTTTGTTCTTGCCATATGAATTTAATGCGGTCACCATGCATTCATATCGATAACACAATTTCAATTTTATAGATCATTGTTACTTTTTTAATTTGTAAATAACAGCTGCAATATGAAATAAGTCGTGTTTTTAATCAAATCAGTTTTTCGTTTTCTTTTGCAGATTTTAATTCTTGAAGACAAAAGAAAAAGTTATTTTCGTTCTTAATGCGGAAGACATAACCAACCATGAAAATATGATGAAAATCATGTTTGATAATCATTTTTATGCGCCATGTCACTTCAGGACGTGGGTGATAATGGCGCTCCACGATTTCCTAACATTGGTAGTTCTAAATAATGTCTCCTTACTATCACTTTCAGTTTATATTCTGCCACCAAGCTAAACATGCTCGTTAAGCAGGTTACACGCTGTTTCCTGCTGCCTCTCCTTTCCTCAAAGTGAGTGTTAAATTTGCCAAACCCTCTTTCCTCATTATATGTCCCAGAAATTTCAGCCGTCTTTATCTGACACCAAGTATGACATTTTGTTTTCGTTTTTCTTAAAATTTCCTTGTTGCTTAAATGTTCCATCCTTCTGTAGAACTACATCTATGTTGCCTCGTGTTTCCTCTTCAACTGAAGGGAAATTGGCCAGCACTCACAGTTATATAGAAGGATAGATATTATGTAGCAGTTCAGCACTCTTTTCTTTGTTTAGAACGAAATTTGATTTTTTCTTATTACTTAATATATGTTTTGTTTTGGAAATATAGATAATCTACCAGCATGTTTTTCGGAGTCGCCTTTATTCTTTTTGTTTTATACTGGTGTGAAAAGCAAAATTTTGGAGAGTTTATGCTTTTTCATTTTTATAGGGTCAGTGGGGCACTTCTACATGGTATAATGATTAGCAAGCTCAACTTATGACTGAGTTCGATCCTCACTGGATGCCCCATAATTCCGGCCTTGTGTCACATCTAAGCTACGCTTAGAAAATCACGATATAGGATCACTACATATACATGTCGATAACATAATTTCGGTTTTCTAGTGTAACTTTTTACTTTATCATTTAATATCATCGTTCTTTTCCCACATTTCCAATTCCTGTTTTTTTTTTATTATCAGTTTAATAATTTTGTATGGAGCTGATTTCTGTCCGGCTCATGATCTATCGATGTCAAGATTTATTTTATATCAAGTAGGTCATTATGAAGGAATGAATGTTCACATTATAATAAAATGCATCGCGGGATTCTGCGCAGCAGCGCCCTCAATTCGTTTTAAATTTGTCTATTTAAGCATGCCAATTATTAATTTTTGTAGCATAATTAATATTTTCGAATTTATACCTGATGAGCGTGAAAAGCAACAAACCATCGTGATCGAAAGCATTTTTGCCAGTTCGACATGACTAATGATTTCTTTAAAGGGAAAGCTAATAAAAAACACACACACACACACACACACACACACACACACACACACACACACACATATATATATATATATATATATATATATATACGTATACATAAACACACAGGTATAAATATATA